TTAATTTGAGATAAAAACCAAATATTATGTGCATGACACTGAGTCTGTTTCCACACTCATTCTGGTATCTGCCAAGAGGTTACACTGACCTTTTTTTTTACTTTTAAATTGTATTATCTTTAAGATGAAGTTAAAATGGGCAAGAATCTAGACGTAATTATTGGGTGCTGATGTGCACGTGGACAAAATAACATTCTCAGATTGTAACAGGCAATGTCATAATCGAAGTAGTTAAATGGGAAAAAAAAAAACCATGTTTGGTACCCGTCCAGAACTGTTGTTTCTATGTGAAATGTTTGTTCAGTTCAAATATTTGCAGTATTGGTGTGTTAGACCTGGTAAAAGCAAGGCAGTGTTGGTAATGGAGAGTTTGTTCTTAGCGAGTGAGAGTAAGAAAAGATCTGCACCAAGACGTGTTTCTGTGCATCTCTCTCTTTAAAGGTCCCTGGCAGATGGTGTGAAGAGCAGTTATTTCCCTTTTTCATGTGGGTTACTATGGCAGGGAGCAATGAAGGCATTTTTCAGGGCAGAGTGGGTGTGATGGATCTCTGGCATCACTCAGCAGCTCAGGTTCCTCTAATCCCATGGCATTCCAGGAGGGATATCTGTGCCCCACAGTGTGTCAGGACACTGTGTTGGGGGGGTTTAGAAGATTTCTTGTTTCCAGTTAACTGAGAACAGTTTAAATGGCAGCATACACAGCCATGTTGACTGCATCTCCGTGACCTTTGGTTTTTGAGCTGTGGTAGAGGCCTGCTGCATGAAAGCATCTTTCCCAGAGCAGAGAACACTCCAGGGGTGACAGAGGGATGAGAGCTCTGTGCTGGTGGTGCTGGTTCGTCCTGCTCTGCTGGCATTGGCCTGGTGGAGAAGGGAAGGATGGGAGCATCACTGCTGGTACTTATGCATCCCTGGTGTCAGGCCTTGGCCATCAGCAACCTGCATTGCAGACTGGGACCAGGGCGAAGTCCAACCGTTCTGTGCAGCGGGGGAGGCTGGCTGCAAGTTCATGCTTGCTTTATCCTTTCACCCAGGCAGAGCAGACTGCTTACCATTCAGTGTTTTATTTTTTGTTGTTGCTGTAGACACTGTTGTCAAGTCAGAGTTTGTTGTAAATATGCCTATGGGATAAAGTGACATTTGTTTTTTCACACTATCGGTTTCCTGCCTTCTTTCCATCCTTTCAAGCACCTATTTTAGAAAAGCTAGAGAGATAAGTTATGCAATGGCTCTGACTTGGCAGTTGTCTTAAATGCTGGAATGGGGCAGCGATGCCACCAGCGTGCTGCTGGCTGACAGCAGGGCGCTGCCATGGCTGTGCTGCCCATCCCTGCCTGCACCTCCAGGTGGTTGGGCAGGAGTTTGACCATCACCTCTTGTCATAGTGGGTGTGGGTGTCACTGCCAGGAGCCTGGCACAAAGCTGCAGAAAGCAGTGGTAATGGATTTATATAAATAATAAATAAAGCCAACTGATTTATCTGCATGTTCTAGCTTAGCAATTAATTCTGCGTTTGGGAGGCAGAACCAAAGCAGAAAACATGTCATAATGCCAGATCAGAGCTGATAATGTATTCCTCCCTTCCTCAGTTCTCTGCTAGCATGGATCAGCCTATTAAGGAATCATCTCTCAGAGCACTGGCCGGCTCCAGGAGGATCCCCAGCAGCTGCAGAGCCCAGCCCGTATGGAGACAGTGCCAGAACCACACATGTAGGAATGGAGGGAGGGATGGAGAGAAAGTGGCAGGAGGGGCCTGGAGGTGGGAGGGGGGACTACTCACCAGCCACTGTGCTCCTGAGGGGCCCAGCACAGAGCTGGGCAGTCAGTGGTCTGAGCACTCTGAGCATGCTTTTTGCCATATTGCTTTGAGACACATGATTACTCCACAGATAGCTCTTAAGATAACAGGTCCTAAATGTAATACAGGACTGTGCTGTTTTACCCAGCATAGTTCCTTGGTGGGATCCCACGTGGGCTGCCATATGGCACATCCCACACTGGAGGCAGCTGCAGCTTCACAGGGAAAAGCTCACAGAGGCTTCTGATCTGGGAGCAACTTGTGGGACATGGTGGTGTCTGTGGATGCTGGTGGGTGCTTGAGGGCTCCATGGTAGCACAGGTACAGCAGTGGGCACCCTGTGCTGGGTGGGGGGCACTTGGTGAGGGAGGGAATAGTCTGCATGCCTCTCCCTGCCCACACGCTTCCCTTTTTCTCAGTTTCTCACTTCTCTAAGCATGGGTTGCATTTATCCAAAGCATCGAGGGTGCTAAGATGCAATTTCAGAAGCTGCAGCATGTTCTGCTGCTGGGGAGTGGTTCTGCCACCAGCACAGCACCACAGCGCTGCATCGGGTGGGAATGCAACAGGTACAGATGTAAAGTCAATGCAGTGAAGAGGAAACGCTCAGGAGAAGGCTGCTGCCAAGGTGATCTCTTTGATCCTCTTATAGAATTTCCTGTGTGTGAAGTGGCTCTGAGGTTGGCTTCTGATGGAATTTCTCTTTATCTGAGACAAGAGGAAGTTGAACCTGTGGTCTCTTTCACAAATGTTTGATTCAGTCAAGTGGAATGTGGCTATTTTTTCATCTAGACTTGCATCTTTATTGTGTGTCTTGCAGCAGGGGACTGAGCTTTTCTCGTATGTACGAATTGAAAAGTAAGAAATGGAAACAATGCATCCATCTACAAGAGATGCTCTGCTCTTGTTAAGCCAGGATCAAGAAGCGGCCACGTGAGCTCTTAACCAGGAAACAACAGTATTTTGGTTATCAAAAACCAAAGTCTCATCAAACTGATATCAGTGCACAGAGAAAAGACAGAAATATTGCAGAGAAGATAAATCTGTTGATTGTTATCTGCGGGTTGCATCCATTCACTGCCTTGTCTTAAGATGTGATGCGTACGCTGGATTTTGAGCTCAGGCCTTTTGGGAAGCGTTGCTGTGATGGTCTCCTGCTGTAGTGCAGTGCAGCTCTGCCTTTCTGCTGCAGGCTCTCTGTGTGTTACAGGTGGGCAGTGACATCCAGCAGCAGGCAGGAGGCAGACAACCCGGTGTGCATCTCCTGGCATCGTGGGTGAGCTGCCTGGGGCTGCAGTGCCAATAGAGCAAAGCAGGCAGTGCTCACTTAAGAAAATCAGTTTCTGAAGGGATGCGTTTATACATTTGTACGTTTATGGAGAGGAAGTTGGTAAATGAAGCTTCTATGAAAGTCCACAGCCAGAAATGCAGGTGATGTGAGCATGTCTCAGGGCCAGCCAAGGTGCTCCTCTGCTGCTGGTGATCTCACACAAACTGGTAAAAGTGCAGAGCTGTAGAAGTAGTCTTGAACTATTAGGTGCAAAGTACAGCTCTAATGAAATGTGACAGCATGGCTTTCACGTTGCCACATTCAATTCATCAATATGAAGAGGGCAAATGCTTTGATAGGAGGCCTGGGATGATGAATGGGCCCGGATATGCCTCATCACTTGTTGAAATTGCAACCACCTGCTGAGGCTTCATTAACTGCAGAGGTTGTTAGTGGGCACCCCATGAACTGTGGCTGTTGGGGGCTGCAGGCTGAGGCTTGCACAGACCTACTGCACGGGGCAGCGTCCTCCCAGCTGTGGGCACACACAGCCCAAGGATGGGTGGTGAGATCCCCTCCAGCCCTGGGGACACAAATGGATCCTGAGTGCCAGGGCTGCCCTTGGAGCTGGGAGCACATCTGTGCACTTCAGCACCGAAGCCATAAAGCACAGCGTAAGAAAATGTCACCACTTAATTTTCCCAAACCTTCGCCCTCCCTTCTGAGAGGAATGTCGTCAGTTTAGGAGAAGTCAATTTAGAACAAAAGACCAATGAATGTGGTGGCTCTTCTTCTTTTGCAAGTTTAAGCACCTCATCTTTCCTCAGAGAACAGCTCTAAATCATTTTATTTGCAGGCCCTAAGCAGGAATTTGTATTCATGGTAAGACATTTATTGAGTTAATTTATTTAAGGCTGGGGCATAATTTCTAATAATGGAAGAGTCTCTAGGCCCAGTGAAATTGTCTCCCTGATAGGGCATTAATATTTTAAGGGATTATAATATCTGCCAATTGATCCGTGCCTCTGGGGGCAGGCCAGCAGTTACTGATGAGCGCCGTCCCAGGGATGGCCTGCAGTTATGCTGTACCCACACAGGGGCCTGAGGACAGCATCCAGCTGCTGGACGTGGCACTGTGTCCGATTCAAACCGTGGCCCAGGAGTATCTCACTGTCTTACTGAAATTCAGACTGGTATGTCCTTAAGATGAACGGTGGAGCTGTGCTCCTTGGGCTCCATCTGGTATTTTTCCCACGTGCTCATCCATCAGTGTGTTGTCAAGCCCCTGAGTTACAGGCTTTGGCAGCTCTGTCCTGGGTCCTTCCACCCAACAAGGTTCTGCCCATCTCAGCACACAGCGACCTGCTCCTGGGAGGCAGAAGCATAGTAAGGATTCAGGAATAACCAAGCGATCCTTTCTCTTGCCCCTTTTGTCCCCTGAGAGGTCAGCAAGTCCCTCCTGGAGGGATGGGCCAGGGCACATAGCGACTGTTGACTGCATCACATTTGTTGCTTAACTGCCCTATGGGCAGCCTGCACTGCACGCAGCGCTGCGATGGAGCCCAGCCAACAAACCTCTGTCAGGGAAACTTTCCCCTTGACCTGCCTGTCAGTGATGACAGAGGAAAGCAAACCCAGGATTAAACAGCACATCTGCACGCTTCTTATGTTGTATTTGCCTGTTTGGTGTTTTTGAATCCCTTGGAAGGGGAAAGTCCAGGTGCTCACTGTGTGGATTTTGTGGCTGTAGCCCTCTGGTAAATTGGCTGTGCCCTGGGTCAGATAAGGAATCATAGAATCATTTATGTTGGAAGGGACCTTTAGAGGTCATCTCTTCCAACTCCCTGCACTGAACAGGCACACCTGCACTAGATCAGGTGCTCAGAGCCCCGTCCAGCCTCACCTTGAGTGCCTCCAAGGATGGGGCATCCACCTCATCTCTGGGCACCCTGTGCTTCTTCCTTTATATCCAGTCTAAATCTCTCCTCATTTAGTTTATATGTTACACATTGTGAGAATAACCAGAAACAAAAGGTCTGATTTAATTTTTCTCTATATTTGTTGATTTTATTTTTATGCCCCTCTAATTCCTTTCTGTTGAAATGACTTAATCTCATTATTTTCAAATTCTGCTCACATGAGAATCTTTCCATAGTAATTATCTTTTTTTTTTTTTTTCCCCATTTCCTCATCTGGCATACTCAGAACTGAGCAGAGTACTCAGTGAAGCCTCTCAGTAAACCACCTCTGCTTTATTTGCTTTTAATGCAAGAAGATCCTACAGCCTTTATCCATTTCTGTATGTAGATGGTCTGGAAGGGTGCACCATTTTGTGTCCCACGAGGGAGTTAATGTCATGCATGCTTGTCTTGGCTGATAGGAACAAGAATAATTAAGTCTCACATAAAATACCTGCACATACACAATGGAGGAGACTAAGTGAGCAGAACTGCTGAGGTGGGAGGGACCGTATATATAGGGTTACAATTACAGGGTTGGCAAGTTGAGAGCAAAATCATAGAAAGCAAAGTTGCTTGGCTGGTGATCTCTGTGCCTGTTAGGAAGGAAGATGAGCTTCTTGCACCCGGCCCTGGATCCCTGCCTGCAGTGAGGGGCAGGTTTCCTGAATGAATGAAACCAGTGCTCAGCAATAATTCCCCAACAAGATGGAGCACGGGCAGCTGTGAGCTCACGGATTTGCAGCCATAGAAGATAGGAAATTTCAGGCAAGTTTACATTGCAGCTGGAGTTAAGACACCCAGTGCAGGAGGAAAATGTGCCTGGAGCGAGTTAAATTTCTGTATAAAACAAATTACTTATAAATTTTATAGACATGGCATTTGTTTAGAGTAAATGAATTGACCAAACAGAAGCTAAGCTTGATGTTCCAGAGGAAGAATTTATTTCACGTAAGTAAACCTCATTTTTATATAACTTAAGGCTTTCTGCATGTATTTGAAGGACTCTGCCCTGCAAGCTGCAGGCAGAGCTGTGTGCTGGGTGGGAGATGTGAGCAATGGTTGCCATTCCCGCAGCAGCTTGAAGGATCAGAGCATCTTTAAAACATAAATGCATTACCTGGGCATGGCTTTAACACTCTTAAATAAGGACTGAACCTGATTTTATATTAACATTTCTTGTATCTTGGAGTTACCTCTATCTTTCATTGGAATGAATAAGACAAGAACCAGACCTGCAGTGTATGGTGTCATGTAAGTAACAGCATAGTTTTCCTGCTCTCATGCTGCCCTAAACTAACAGTACTATCTATGGGATTGGTGTATATAAATCTCTGCTAGCACACAGAATAGAGTCAATAAATCATGCTGTTAGTGCAGCCAGGCCCTTGGGACAGCTGCCTTTGGTGCAGCTCCTGTCCCATCACCACTGTGTGATCCTGTCCATACACAGGGGCTGGTCCCACACAGCACTGAGCTCTGCCTCTCACTGAAACACAGCAAGGGCTGCCCCAAACAAGCAGGGTGTGTGCTGCAGCCTCAGTGAGGCCCTCGGTGGTGCTGCTGTTCCTGAAACCGAGAGGTCATTTTTCATGTGATGTCATGACAGCGGTGCGGATGGAAAGAATCCACTTTTTACCAATAGCAAAAGTTCACGGAAGTTCTTGAAATTTCTGTGGGTATGATGAAGTCACCTGTTTACCCATCTGTGATTGCTGATAAGCACTGAAGGCAGGTGAACAGTAAAAAGCAGATTACAGAAGGTGGCATCTGCCTGGCACGTGCCTTGTTGAGCTGAGGCTAACACAGCTTCAGCATGTGCCTCCTGCTCTTCTAGGCAGAAATCGGGCTGCTGGTGATCTCCATTCTGTCCTGCTATCAGACAAGCTGGCTGAAATTTGAGTTCTTCAAACAGGGAAATCAATAGGGAAAAAATGTTTTGTTTAGGAAAAAAAAAAAATTTGAGATTTGGACAGAATGCTAAAATAGGAAAGGCTTCATGTCAGTGTGGTTTGTTAGCAGACTTGCAAGTCTTCTCTCTGCCTTTAGTTTAAAAATATTAAAGCAGAAAAAAAGTTAAAAATTCAGACAACTCATTTTAGTATTACCCACTTGTGTGGTGCTGCTCCATGTCTCATCCCCTTTGCCTGCATCCACATCTGATGTCGCCTTTGGTCCTGACCAGCTGAGGGCTGAGCTTGTGTCTCTGTTGACACACAACAGGATCTCACTAACTACTTAGTTCTGTAAAAATAAGGTTAATTCTGTATACGTTGATTTTAGCATCAGATCTGTAAGGTTTCCAGTAGGAGTGGCTTGCAGAAATATGTGGCACGTTTTCTTGTTTAATTTTTCTCTTCCTTGTAGTAGCTCCACATTTTCTCCTGGCCTGACAAAATAGATATTTAACATAGAATCACAGTACCATTTGAGTTGGGAGGTAACCTTAAAGGTCATCCCATCCAACTCCCTGCAATGAATAGGGACACCTACACTGGATCAGCTGCTCAGAGCCCCATCCAGCCTGACCTTGAGTGTCTCCAAGGCCAGGGCATCCACCTCATCTCTGGGCAACATAAAAAAATTATTTCATGTTAAACTCTAAATTTGAGGTACTTGACAGGCAAATCATTTTGAATGAACTGAAAATAAAAGCTCTGTGACTTGCTTGGCCAGTAAATTAAAATTGTTAGGCTTCAGTCACTCAGACCTCTTCTAGATAAACTTGCTGACCTGGATGTGATATCTTGGCTTCTACACAGCCTGTTAAATCTGATCCCAAAGTCCACAATGCTCTTCTTCTTTCATGGGTTTGTAATTGTATGTAGCAACTACTGCCATCATAGAGGTGGCCAAAGAAAGCTCGGCATTGGATGGTGCAGCCAGCCATGAAACTGGAAACTCCTGATAATGGTGGCGTGATGCTTTCCATCCCAGTTCCCTCAGCCACTATTACTGCCTGCAGCTCACTGACTCATCCTGTGGCTCTGCTCTTGTAGCTGGTTTTCCAGATTCTTGCAACAGCTCCTCCTGCCTGGCTCTGGGATGTCGTTTGCCTTGAGAATATCAGAGAATGTGCTGATCTGCTCTGTGCAGTGAGACACGGATGGGGCTTTCACCTGTGAAGTGGGAGGTAGTGTGGGCCTGTAGTGCTTTCTGTTTCCCTTGCTGTGTTATGCTTGATGAGGAGTGGATCACTGAGGGTGATGCTGACAGCAGTGCAAAGCTATCCGGGCTCCACCAGGTGTCAGTGTGCACCTCTCTACTGTGGTATTTCTCCTTTTGTGTTTTCATTCTTACCAGCCCTTCCAAATTAAAGGAATGTAGTAGAATTAAGGAACATAGAACTGAGCATTAGTGGAGGTTATACATGTGGTGTAAATCAGCATTATTTCATGAACTTCTATGGGAGCAGATGCAGGCTTAACTACTGAGGAGTCTGGTTGCATGTTTTGCTGTAATACTTGCATCTTTGAATAATTCCCTGTCAGTAGGCAGAGCATGGAGCTGGGCGAGCTGTTAGTTCTCAAGGTTTTCTTTATTTCTGAACATATGCAATAAATGATTTTAGGTAACACTGGTGGTGCAAGCAAAGCTTCCACAACTACTGGTATTGCCTGTGCTGTGCTATTACATACAAAATGTCAAGATTAAACAGTGCCTAAATTTGTTTTCCTATTAAAAGTCAACTGCAATCCTTTACTAAATAGAGAAACATAAATGCACAATCTTAAAACTGTTCCTTCCCAGCATACTGTACTCATGAAGCTAGTAATCTCTGATGAAAGCTTTTGAACTGTAGAAGCAGAATTGTAGTTCTACTTACTGATATACTGTAATTCCTAGGTTTCCACAAAAAGCATAGTCTCACAGTTTTGGCACTTCTCTCTCTGTATTTATTTCAATACGTAGCTGAGAACTGCTTTTGTTATATTCAGTTTTAGGCACAGATGTCACCCTTTTCTGGCCTGTGAGTGCTCTGGCATATTGAGTTTCTAGCTCTGTTGGGTACTTACAGACCACTGCTTCCCAACCCTCGATATACTTGTCTTCACAGCCGTGTTTGGAAGGAGGAAAACAGGACTGTGGAGTTCATTTGGGTGTGTGGAAGCAGCAGTTAGAGATTTATCCAGATTGCTTTGGTTTGTTTCAATCTACTGTCTTTGGTAGATAGAAGTCACACACGTGGCAGTGTGTTTCAGTTAACAAGAGCCGTAAACAAGGCTTTACAAGAATGCTTTTTACAACATAAGAGGCCTCCATGCATTAGTCATCAAAACAAACAGAATTTGACTTATTTTTTTCAAAACAAGGTCTTAGTAACTGGGACAGATAGACAGAATGAAATTCAGAAACGGATGCACCAAAATGCTAGGAATTACAACTCCTTTGCAATAGGGATGTTTGTGAGGGATGTCCACAAAGGGTTCCTCAGCTGAAATGTATCAGTTTTTATACTTAATCACATGCTGGTTTGTTAAATTACCCTTTCTTACTTTACTGCACTGATCCTTCTTTTCTCATCAAAATCGTGGTGTAATGCTGTGTGAACAGGTAGATGATTAATCTCTGTAGCCCTTTATGATTACCTGGTACTGAGGAGCTGCTGGGAACATCTGGAAACATCTGAACACCATGTTAGGACAAAAAGTGCAATGACTTGTTAGGAATTCAGATGTTAGACAGATATTAGAGCATATTTTACTTAGAAACATATCCTGTCTTTCTCCAGTGGGATTCTTGTCGTATGGCCCTGCATTTGTGGTGCTTTGAACGTTCAGGTATTGCCACTGGCTGTGTACAAAGATGTCCCTGCTGCCTGGAGCACAACTGTTCCATAGCACAGCACCAGAGCTGTACACTTAGCTGAGAAGGCACAGTGTCCTCTGGGCTGTGGTGAGCTACTGCAGGAAGGTTCTAACCCAAGCAGAAAATTCCCAACCCTCGGGTTACTATGGAATAGCCACATTTGGTGTTGAAATGCTCATTCACAGTTGTGCAAGTCAGGGCTCAGGGACTGGTGCTTTGTACAGCCATTCCCAATTTGTGACAGTGTGACGGAGAGGAAAACTTACATCTATCTAAGAATGATGTTGCTTTGCCACTACCTGTAGGTAAACTGATACACTGAGGTACACTTCAAACAGTCTAGTGGTCAAGCACTGTTGTATTTCCAGCTCAAACTAGTGATGGTCCAGTAGCAGTGTCTCCTTGGCAGCTGTGCCTTCATCAGCCTGTTGCAGCAGCAGCTTGCAGTGAGAGCACACTGTTGTATGGCAGTTATCCATATCTCCAATAAAGGTGTGCAGCTGATGCAGCCTTTCAGGCAGAAAGCAGGGATGCAGAGCAGAGCATTGTCAGAGTTGCTCATTGTGGCACCAGCATGAGCCTGTGGGAGTTCCAGGCCAGAATCCAGATTTTGGTTCCACTCCCAGAAAGGTCAACGAAACCCATTTGAAGGAGAATGATTTCATCCCGTTCTGCACGCTGAGCAACTCGCCAATGTTACTGCTAATAGCATGGGCTACTTCAGGTACAAGCTAATGGAGTGCAACACTACAGAGTTTCTGTGCAGGTGATTAGTGGAGCACAGGAGTGTAGGATGCTGAGTCTGTCGTAAGTGGGAAGGATCTCATGTGGTTTCAGAGACCTTTAGGAAATTCTTAAATATTTACCTATTTAATCAATTCTTTCCTTTGGTGTCATTCTCAACATCAACTAATCACCACCCCATGCTGAAATGAAACCCCTGTCTAAAACACCAGACTGAAATCTGGTGACGCTGCAAAAGGACGTTTGGAACCGAGCATCTCTTATGAGGAAAGTGTGAAAATAGCATGGTGCTGAAAAATGATTCGAGCTAGAAGGAAAACACAGGTGTCACTGTGTGTTGAGGATGTTAAACACTGCTGTGTGGGATTCTGACTCTGTGCAGCACTTCTTTTCCATGTCCCTTCACTTAAAATAGAATCACAGAATTGCTCAGGTTGGAAAAGACCTTAAAGATCATGAAGTCCAACCGCAACCCAACCACACTACCCTAACTCTAACAGCCCTCCACTAAATCGTGTCCCTGAGCAAATAGTTCTTCTTAAATCACAAAAATCTCCTTTTCTTTCACAGAAGAGCAGAGCAGATTCTGAAATAATCTCCAGAGATGTTCTGCAGATATTTTTGCTTCTTCAGTCTGTGTCTTTTCCTTCAAACACAAAGGCAAGTGGAGCATTTGTTTTGCTTTACAGGTCATCTGAATTATATTAACATAAGTAATGTGGGTCAAAGGGAAATTATGCTTCCAGTTTTACAGCCCACTCAAAGAAAGTTGGGTGCATTAAGGAGTCAGGCAGGGGGAGCAACCTGCACAGGTTCCCAAAATATAACGTACAGTGATAGTGCAAGCTCTTTTTCTCTGTTCAAGAGCAGGAAGTTGTGGTGGTTTTGCTGGAAGTTGTCTACCACACTGTCCTCTTCCACCCCACGTCTTCCAGCTGAGTTATTGCCATCCCTGACTGCAATCAAGTTCTGAAGACTCTGATATAGCTGATGCTGCTCAGTAACTGCTAAGTTCTGCTGTAAGCTTCTTTTTGATCTAAAATCTGCAGCAAACCTCCAAGGATTATTAACTCAGCTTTAAAACACAGGCCAGCAGTCCTGAGTTTCTGGAGAGAGGCAGCACCTCCTTCAGCCCTTCACAGAGCAGTATCAAACCCATAAGGGCTCACTCACATTTTCATCAAGTGAGCACATGCCTGCATAAAGCACACTGCACCATGGCACCTTTTTTTATGACCCTCAAACCCTGTAGCTCTCTATTTACAGGACGGCACAGCTCTGGGAACCTCGCAGTGCCAGGTACCTGCTGTATCTTCAGTACAGAAAATGTTCATTTTGATATGTAGTGGTAATTTGCAGTGGTAGTCCTGCTCACAGTGCTGTCTTGCTGTCTGTGAAGAGCTCGCTGTTTTACCTCTCTTCTTCTTGGCATACTCAGAGGCTTCACTCTGGCAGCTGTTGGGATGCTGCCTGATGCTAACAAATAAGGATGAAACTTTGCTTATGGGAATGATGATGAAGAAGGAGGAGCTGTTGGGCAGTAAGATTTGTCTTGGGTTATTTTATGTAGGAGGAAAAAGGTTCCTTATATACATTTTATGAGGAGGAATGAGAAGATTACAGGTTATTATTAAGTCTTGTGATATATTCACCTTGTTTGACTTGCCTGGGACATTTTAAGAATGTCCTTAAGCCACTGTCTACAAACCTGAGGTTATTTGTTCAGGTTATTTGCTATATTCCCACCTCTCTAAGGTATTAATTATTCAGCCAAGGTAAGCAATGTCAGTAAATGTTCATTATTTCAATGATGTATTTTTTTTTAATAAATATTTTACATAGTTTGCTTCTTTGAGCACAGGCTGGGGATGCAGCTGCACACCTGATGTGCCCAGCATGCCTGGCCACATAACAGTACATTACTTGTGTCCCCAGGAAATGCTCACTGGGACGTGTGTCCAGTCTGGGTGGCAGTGATGCAGCATCCTTGCCTGGATTTGAGAACCTCACAATGGGATACAACAAATACCTCAGGCCCTTCTTTGGTGGTACGTTGGCTCTGTGCATTTCACTATTCAAAGAACAGTCTGTAATGCTTGTGGTGAGCATGCTTTAAGCTTTCAATAGCATGCCCCAGCTTAAAAGGTTGAGTTCTTTTAAAATTAGCTAGTAGCCAAGGCTGCTCTCCTTCCTGTGCATCCAGTGTTACATTGAATGTGTTGTGCACACATGCATACATGAGGCAGGAGAATGTGTCCATCTGTGAAGGAGAGGGAATTTATAAACTTCAACATCTCTATGAAAGATCTGACAGTAATTCAATTCTGCTGTAATCACGTATGTTTTTATTTAGGGCCTTACCCATGTGATTTTCTGCTTTATTTTTGTTTGTGTCAATTTACTCAGACAGTGGACATACAGGAATTCTCCTTTCCAGGAATACTGGCTTCTGGCACATGCATTCCCCTCACTCTGAGACAAAAACTAAACCTCCTTTAAACCCCTTGTGAAGCTCCAGAAAGAAGCATCTGAGGGGCAGTCAGTTATTTAGGAACTCACCTGAGGCTACTGTCAGCTGTCAGGTCTCCCACCTCCTAGGTGAATGTTGCAACTGCTTGCAGGGTTTCAGGACAACATTCAGCCCCTGAAAAATATTGATGAAAATTTTGATAAACTTTGCTTGTCTTCCAGTACTCATTACCACAACAAAGCCTACTAGAAAAATTATCTATCAGCTTTCTCCAGGAGTTGCACATTTTTCCATTGCAGCTCCTGCAGACCGACTTTCTGCTTTTGGCAGCTTTGAGTTACTTCCTTTTTCTGCCCATGGTGATACATTTCTAGGACAACACGGTATTTAGCAGCTTGTTATGCCCAAAATGTCTCATGCAGGAACAGAACAGCTCTGCTACAGCCTGTCACATAAGCAAACTGAAGCCTCCAAATTGCATAACAGACACACTATACCAGACTGTGCCAGCAAGAGCCATGAGATACAAATGGTCAGGCTCAGGTTTGACCTCCTCCTGAGTTTTAGTGGGTTTCAGGTGTTTAATAACGAAGGAAGGATGTAAATGACAGCTATATTAAAATATATATGTACATATTTTATGCAAATGACATACCTTTTGGATTTGGAACGTTTCAGAAACAAACAAAAGAACAATAACAGCAGCGACACAAACCCTCTAACCCAGAAAGAAATTCAGAAAACGTCCCATAGACTTTCCTACATGTGATTTAGAGATGAGGAGAAGGAGTTAGAGCAAGTCCCACGAAGAGAGGCATTGATGTGTTTCCACGAGGGCCGAAGGCAGTGCTGGAATGCACCAAGCCATGTCAGAGCAGGACATCCATCCGCGTGCATCAGCTGCCCTCTGGTGGTGGATTTCAAGAGCTGATGATAGAAAGTAGACAACCAGGATTCAGGACTTGGTGTGACGCTGTGTCTGCCGGTCCTTTGGGTTTCTGAGAGCAAGATGTGTTGGTAGCTGGGAGCTGTGCCTGTGCTGGACAGTGGTTTTACTGCACCCTACATTCTCCTAAGTTTCTCTTTCCTTCCACAGGAGAACCTGTTCAAATTGCAATGAGCCTGGACATTGCAAGTATTTCTAGTATATCTGAGAGTGACATGGTAAGTGAATTATTTTGCATAAGAGAGAATAGAATCTGCCTGAGAAACTTCTCATGTTACCTTGTGGTCAGCACCGAAACTGTTCTGTTCAAGCTGCTTTGCTTTTAGTGTGATCACTTCTTGGGGGGTGTGAGGAGAACTGGGCTCTCCTCAGGCTGCAGGTTATGTAGATGCCATAGAAATATGGGCTTGTTAGTGAAGAGACGGCCTCAGAGCTCCTGCTGGTTTAAAAAGTCTAAAAACCACAACCACCTTAGAGCGTATGTGGGAAACATACTAAAACTATGATGACCTGTTGGTTCTACTGCATGCATTTGGAGCTACGCTTTGATGGGTTAAACAAATGCATTGTGCCTTGCCACTCATGGCATATGCCCACAGTTTATGGCACGCAGTTGTTCTGGACGTGCATCCCCTGGTTCTTCTTCTTCCCAGGATTACACAGCCACCATCTACCTGCGGCAGCGCTGGACAGACCCACGCTTAGTCTTTCATGGCAACAAGAGCTTCACGCTGGATGCTCGTCTAGTGGAATTGCTCTGGGTACCAGACACGTACATTGTGGAGTCAAAAAGGTCCTTCCTGCACGATGTCACTGTGGGGAACCGCCTCATCAGATTGTTCTCTAATGGCACTATCTTGTATGCCTTAAGGTAAACCAACCTTCGGCTTCCCCCGAATGACGGTGGTTCAGAATAGATTTCCAGAATTATGCAGAGATTAAGGAGCAGCAGGAAATGTGAGCAGGAGATCCTGCTGGAGCAACTCCCTGCCATACCTGTAAGAAAGGCACCGGGGCGATACGCCCCTAATTGTGGTGGACCCCCCTGCCCTGTTGCCATTGGGCAGATGGAGGGGACCAAATTATTTACTCAGAGTGGTGAGGTGCTGGAATGTATAGCCCAGAGAGGCTGTGGATGCCCCATGCCTGGAGGTGTTTAAGGCCAGGCTGGATGGGGCCCTGGGCAGCCTGGTCTAGTGGCTGGCAACACTGCCCATGGCAGAAGGGTCAGAATTTAATTGATCTTTAAGGTCCATTCCAATGTAAGCCATTCTATGATGAAATTATTTGCTTATCCGACGCCACTTAGCTTTGATTTCTTCTCTTTAGCAGGAAGTGTTTGTGTACATGAGTAGAAATGTGCATTGTACCTGTGTGAGGCCTTAGTGTTATCTCTTCCCAGTTCTACATAACTGCCAGTGACTTCAGCTTATAGCAGCTTTATTTGCACTGAATTCATTTACCCTCTGCACTGAAGCAAGCCAGGGTGTACATGCAGTTGGTTACTGTGCCTCAGGTGGCAAGGGGTAACTTCTTTATAAGTGCTAATAGTAGCAATGGAAGCATGTGAATCTACATTAAATCTCCTACCACAGCAGGGCAGAATTCCTCCTTTGGTACATTTTCATCAGGATGGCTGCAGGCAGTGTATCTTAAGGAGGGGTCTTTCTGATTATAGCAGCTATAGGTCAAAATGATCTAAATGACAAATCAGAAGCTTTGTATGGTCTTCTCTGCTATGTAGAAATAGTAAGGGTCAAAGGTAGAAATATTGCATTAAATGCTTTCATTGTGATTTTTGGAGTTTTTTCTCCTCCTACAGAATTACTACTACTGTTGCTTGTAACATGGACCTATCAAAGTATCCCATGGACACACAGACATGCAGACTGCAGCTAGAGAGCTGTAAGTATAACAAAACCTGGCTGGATGTTTGTTTGTTCGTGCTGAATATGCATCTTAAATATTTGCATTTATCACAGCGACCTCCTGAAGTAGCAAATATTAATGTCCAAAAGAAAACAGCTTTCTTTCATTATTCTTCAAATATTTGTGCTGTAATGTACAGATTAGAGGATTTTTGCCACTGTGCAATTAAAACAAAAGTAACAAATCATACCTTCACCAAGGGGGAGATGGTTGAGTTTTATACAGAAAGAATTTAGTAGTAGTTGCTGGTTATAGTAGTTTTAATAGTATTTGGTTTTCCAAATGCAGTCCCTTTTTGCACAACTTCCCACATTTCTTCTGAAACCTGCTGTACCTCCCAAACCTGCCCAGCCCTCTCTGTGAGGGTCGCCCGTTACACCAATAGAGATGGTGAGATCCTCATCAACAGGAGGAGTCTTGCAGATCTCAAGAAAAGGAATCATCAGGGAGTTCCGCTCTTAAATTAAATGTTCATCTGTGGCAAAGTTGGCTAAGAACTTTAACAACAGGTAAATGCTCAGAGAAAACCTGGGATACTACAGGGCTTTTCCCAGGAGCTCAACAAGAGCAGTGCTGCTGTTGTGGATCTGTGAAGCTCTGCAACAAGCGAGCATCTTCCTCCCACTTTGTGTCACAAAAGGAAATGCTTGAAATCTCAGTGCTGAAAAGAGCAGATTAAACTTCTGGGGCTGCAGCACGAAGCACCTAAGGAAGCACATATTACTTTCACATTAAAATCATATTAGTTCACCGTGGTTAACTTTATTACAAAGAATAGCTCCTGAAATAATAATGATTGCCCTCTTCTGCTAAAGAATAGCTTGTTTGGGTCTGCTGTAAAAGTGATTGGGTCCTACATCATGCTCAGTTGCTGTATAACTCCAATGAAATTACATGCACATTGCCCACTGGAGGTTTCGCTAGGATAAGTGCCCAGAAATAATGCTATTTAAACATTTGCCAGATGAATTAACAACAATTTATCATTTATTATAAAATTTTCCTTAGTAATCACGATTTATAAAACTGTTTAGAAATTTTGAAGAGTCACGTGCTTATGATTCTACATAGGGATTCATACCCTGGACACCTAATTTATGAGTTCATCATACTCAAGCTCTGGTAATTTGTATCTAATTAAAAAAACAAACAAACACCACAATTAGGTAAAAATAGAACTGCAACTGCATCTTATTCCTTCTTCGAGGATGAACAGGTCGTTATCAGGATAAAGGCATCCCTACTCATTTTCCCATAGAAGGGCACTTAATAAAAGAGTCAAGTCAGTGAGATTGATAGGCTTTTTTCCTAAATTAAGTGTAAAATGTTGAAGTGAACGGCTAGCTGATGCCTGAGTACAGGCTTTATCCCTCAGAATGAAGTATGGGATGAAGTAACCTGACATTGTGTTACGCCATCGCTTACGTTCCTGGAGGCAATTTTGCAGCCAACACATGCATGTATGTAGGCTGTACTGATAACCTCATCTATCCTGGTGTTTTGGAGCAGGAATTCAGTGTTACCTAAGCACTAAATACATTTACTTGTAAAGAGACCTGTGCAACATGTAGTCAGAAGAGCCTGGTTTGTAACTGCATGCGAGTCTGAGCTCCACACTCTCAAGTAAGAGCACCTTTTCTGATATTTTGAAGCAGTTGAATAGATGGGTCAGGGCAGTGTGCTTCTTCAACCTGCTAGGGGGCTCAGTGAGATCTGTACTCTATTTTAGTTTTATTTTTAACTATTGCAATCCCCTGCTCGCCTTACATGACCAAAGAGACTATGCTCAAGGCTTGAGATCACTGCAGTAGTTTTATCCTGCTCTGTGCCATCGATCTGGGGATGCCATGAACGTTAAATGATCTTTAACAATGCGAAAATAATTTAAAATACACAGTGAAGATGTCTGAAACGGGTTCTCTGCACTCTTTCATGTTGTGCATCACTCATCAATGTTCTCACAATGATATGTGTTCCTAAGTCAAATCAAAACCAGCAGACTGCAAACACACAAGCAGAAGGAAGAGCCAGCTTCCACCAATAGCTGATGCAGTGAGAGGGTCTTTGTGCAGCCTACAATGTGTAGGTGACGTTTCTGCTCCCACCCAATGGGGGAGGCAGAACAACAGCTGGGCATTTATTGGGTGACTGCAGTAATATACGAGTCTTTGTTCTCTGTAGGGGGATATGATGAAAGTGATGTCATCTTCACATGGCTGAGAGGAAATGACTCTGTCCATGGCATAGAAAAGCTGCGGCTCTCCCAGTACACAGTGGAACGTTACTACACCCTCATCTCAAAGTCACAGCAGGAAACGGGTAAAGCAGTGAAGGAGAAAAGCAAGAAAAACCCTAAATATCTCCCCTTTCACCTCCCCTCTCTTCTACAGACGACTGCAGTTGGACTCAAGAAGCCTCAAGCAAAACTTAATTGTACAAAGAGATGGGAAGAAAGTGAAATCCAATTCATTGCAATCAGGAATTCTGTGGGATGGAAAGATGAATCTTTTAATATCCTACATTCACTTAATCAATTTTCTTTAACTTCTCAGCGTCTTCCTCCACAGATGCCAGAATAGACCTTTTAAATATACTTTCTTCCTAACTGACAATTACATTGTTTTGATGGATTTAGATCCCTCTGTGCAGCAGAACTCAGTGTAAATACTCTCCTGTTCACTCAGATGTTAGGGAAAGGGGCAGTTTTCCTCAAAATGGTCAGGTTTTATAAATGATGGGGTTTTTTTCTGTTTACTGTAGCATACACAGCCAAAGAACAACATGTTTTTTGTTTCCACACTTCAAAGGGAACTATTGTTTAAACAGCAGAAATATCTCCTGAAAATACTTACAGTCCAGCTCCTAAATCCTTTTGTCAATATAAAGACAAACTGATTTTTAAAAAAATAGACTGAAATTGTTTTGAGTGCAAAAAGACACAGTTACTAAAGATCACAAATTACTAATGAATAAAGGGGATGTAAATCCCTGTGATGATAAGATAATGGGATGCTTTGGGACATGAACCAAAGCATGCTGAAATCAAAAGAAGATCTTTTGTTTAATTTCTCGGCCATCAGATAAGAATGAATTTGGCAGTGGCCCTTGAAAGTAGTTCTTGGGAAAAAGAGAATAGAAAAAAAGCACTGGGCTTTCTCCACTTTAAGTTATGAGACTGGATTAAAATATTCCCACTGCAGATGAAGTTTAGGAGCCCCACTGCAAACCACGCATTGTGTGCACATGTCCCTTTGTCTAGGATATGTTAGATAAGAAACATCTCTGAGGCAAGGAGTCAAGCTTCTGTAAGCAATGCATCTCCCATCATCTCAGTGAGGCTCCACAGAATGGTGCTGGACATCCCCATTTCAGGCTGAGGGTCCTTGGAAATCTCCTCACGATCACCATGTCTCCCTTTTGTGAACAGGCAGTTACCCACGACTGATACTGCAGTTTGAGCTGAGAAGAAACGTCCTTTATTTCATTTTGGAGACCTATGTGCCATCTACTCTGCTTGTGATGTTGTCCTGGGTTTCTTTTTGGATCACTCTGGATTCAGTGCCTGCGAGAACCTGCATTGGTGAGTTGCCACCCGAGAAGGGAGATTTCAGCAGGCACGGAGTGCCTCTGATGGCTGGACAGATGGTTGTTTTCTTGAGCTCTCTGCTTCAGCGGTCTGCTCACATTCTGCCTTTACTGGCTCCTGGCTCCTGGTAGCAAAGGGCAGAGCACACGTTCTTCCTAAAGAGCTTTGGTGGAGGGAAGTTTTTGTATTTTTTTTTTCCTTGTTATTAATTGAAAGATGGAAAGTAAAAGCGAAGTACTTGTCAGAGCCAAGTTGTCAAAAGCAGGGAGGTGTGTGAAGCTAGTAGGTAGTGCTACACAGGTCAGTTGACGGATGATTTGGATCTGCTAAGACGTGTTGTTTTTGTATAGCAGCAGAGTGACACTGCTCCCACTGCTGGGCACACGGGTAGAGGGTAGGCCAGGCCTTTTCCTGAGTGCCTATATGAGAAGGTCTTTTCTGTTTTTCAAGGAGTAACAACTGTGCTTTCCATGACAACTCTGATGATTGGCTCACGAAGTTCGCTTTCAAAAACCAACTGTTTTATTAAGGCCATTGATGTTTACCTCGGCATCTGCTTCACCTTCATCTTCGGTGCCCTCGTGGAATATGCAGTGGCTCACTACAGCTCATCACAAAAACGTACAGCTAAAACACCTCGAGAGGTAAAGTCTGATCTACCGTAACAAAAATCGTTATCTCAGATCAACAGTAATTAGTCTTTTATTAACTGCATACGACTGTTCTTCCTCTATGGGTACAGCTCACAGCTGCTTCTCCTAATTGTCACTAAATGCAGTTTTTTTGTGTGCAACAAATGCAGCAGCAGTGATTATGAACATACCTAGGCCTAGAGTGAATTGCTCAAAGCAATCTGCTGTAGTGGAAGAAATTAAATATTCTCGTATGACAATAGCCCAGCGGTCATCAAGGACACAAATCCTGACAGAAATGAAAGAGCTACCCCACGTCCCTGGTGACGACTTCAGCTATTTATTGTGTAGAAGTGAAGAGAGACAGATTGCCATGTCCGGCCCATAAGGCCTTGAAGAAGATGGATGTTGGGTTGCTCAGCGATGTCAAGAATTAGATTTCTTTAAAGAACTAAAACAGTCTAGAAATAAAGCAGTGGAAGAACATGCATCTCTGGGACTCCCAGCCCTTCTGAAATTAGCTTTGAATATTGGGGGTTTTGATGAACACCTCTGAAGCTGTGTGTTTGCATCTTTATCCCTATGGTCTCCCTATTGATCGATACTTTTCCTCTGTAGGAGAAGCCAAACCTTACAACTGTGGTATAACTGGTATGTATACTCTTGTTTCTTAGGGGTCTGCAAATGAACTTACTAAAGAAATGGAAGAAATGAACATCGCTGGCATCCTCAGCAGCTCCATCACCAGCTACAAACAGCAAATTAGTTTTACAGGCATTGAGATTTCCAGTGATAATATCAACTGCAGTGACTTGACCATGAAAACTCATGAGAAAATCAAATGCTTCTTGAGAAACAAAATGTACAGGATTATCGGTTATTTCACAATTCAGAACCCCAGTAATGTAGACCACTACTCCAAATTGCTTTTTCCATTGTTTTTTATGCTGGTCAATGTGTTTTATTGGGCTTATTATTTATATTTTTAGCGGGAATGGGTTTTTGTGTTCTCCCACTTCAGTGGGAAAGGAATCCTGCCAATGGTCATCTCGCTACCTAACCTCAGTGAATCCAGCATAGACAAAATGCGCTGTGTTTCCTGAGGTCTGGAGCAAAAGAGTGGGTGGGGTATGTGAGATGCAAAGCCTTCATGCTTCAGCATTCGCAACAGTGACTCTGGACACTTGCTTGTCCAGCTGAGTGGCTTTGCTGGGCTTTTGGCTGGTACGGGCTCTTCATTCCAACACACAGCCTCTCTGGCCAGGGAAGGATCTGTAGGACTGCATGTGGCAGTCCACAGATTACCAGAGGTAGCAAAATTATCCTGATAACCTGAAGTGGATTGGAACCTTCTAGTTTAGATCTCTATCAGGATGTACAATTATAGCTGTTCTTCTGTGTTTGCCAGAGATAACAGTAACAGGGACTGTGGCTGCCATCTCAATAGCTCCTCTGTTCAAATAAGGGAACCCAAAGGCAGCAGTGTGCTGTGCACAGAGGAATGGCTCCTGTGCATGGCACTTCCCTGTCCCAGGGATGATGCAGCACCAGAGCAGTGATTTCAGTGATGCTGGCAGCAGCAAAGTGGTATGCCTTGCTGTTTTTAATACCTGGCAGACTCGGTGAGGTAATCCCCATTTGCTGAAGTTACCCATCCCTAAGACAGATGGATGGGCTCTTCGTTTGTAAAGGTGTTTTGTTGTTGTTGTTTGTTTTTTGCTTTTTTTTCCCCAGAGATTTGGGTACAGAGTCTATGGGCAACAAAAGCCTTTTATAACGCATCTCGTGCTCTTCCTGTTGGGCTGCTTGCTGTTGTGCTGCACTTGAGCAGACTTCACTCCCTTCCATGTCTTCCTCACAAATAGATTGTTTTTCATCCTGGAGAGAGCCTTCAGTTTTCACTCTCATAAGTAGCCCTTGTTTCTTGCCAGTCATGCAAGAATGGCCAGTTTGCTGTCCCTCTTTATATATGGCTCTGCAGCTGTGGTGAGTCAGCAGTTCTGTTGGGTGAAAAATCCACGAGTGGGGCTCAAGGCACAATGATCCAAATCAGCTTTTTCCTTTCTATTTAAGTCTGAAAAAATTTGGGAACCAAATGGCAATTGTACTATGTATCTTCAGGAAGGGTCTCCATTTCCCAATTTAAAAATCAACGTGTATAGCATGCTTTTTTCCCTCCTTTTTGGTTTATGCAACTTTCATTGCTTTGAAGGTATAGTCTTGCAGTTTCGTAGGCAAAAAAGTAATGACTGTAGTGGCTGCCAGTCAGCAGGAGCTTGAGCTGAATGAGGTCTCAGCATGCAGTTTATATCCTAGTCTCATGCCTGCATGAGTCCACAGTCTTACTGGGACTTGCTATAGAAGGTGGGCAAAGCACGTGAAACTATAGATTATTTTTTTAAACTTTAATAACTTTTTATTGAACCACCTCACCACGCTATATTGTGAAGGATCTAAGCCACATATTCATAAATCATAGATTTTACAAAGAGCAGCACAAAAAGACAAAGGGGAACAGACTTACAGTGGCAAGTGAATAAACACAAACTCTAATAATGAAATGTTGGCTTGTATATACTGGCATTTAAACTCCATTCCATAAAATGTAATAAAGTGAATATTGGTGATATGAACACAAACCCCCAGAGAGATCCTCTATTAAAAAAAAAAATAAAAATCATTGCCCTCTTTCTTTGTCAATTTCTTTCTTTAAAACCCAACTAAAATGCCTTGTGCGCTCCGTAACAGCTGCCAAATATTAATGTTAACAAAAGGAATTTCTTTGTACATTATGGCAGAAGACGTATGAGTTGCCTGAGCTGCCACTCTCAGTGCTTGCTTTCAATAGATGCTGCTTTTTTATTTTACTTTTTTATTCTTCTGTGGCTTTGAGGTTGCTCAGGGCTGGTTCTAAGTTACACATCTGTGCAGCAAAGTGTCCTTCACAGGCTGGGCCAAGTGAGAGGCACGTTGTCTTGAAAAGTGTCAGCTCTATCTGCTGATTTTGTAAATGCATGGAGGGAGGGAAAGAAAGTGGTAAGAGGAGGATTTTTTTTTTTTCAGTACCATATGAAAGTATTACTAAGGAGCTACTGGAGTGGACAAAGGAAACGTCTAAAAAAGGTTTTTTAAAAAACTCAATATATAGGAAGTATGGGTTCCTGCTTTATTTGCTCTTATCGATCACTTTTACTTCTAGTAATGGACTTCACTTTATAAATCATACACCGCATGTTTGGCTGCTGTAACATGAGGTCCTAAGTCTGTGGCCCGTCCGCAGGGTGGTCCTGAGGACTGTCAGCAGTCAAACCTACTCTCAGCAAAGAACAGATGCAGAAGCACAAGACAAAGTATAAGTAAGCCACCTGTGCTCCATCCTACTGCAGGTACATTGGGCATATTGGAGGGACCAAAGTTAATTTTTTGCAATTGCACATTTTGCAGTGAAGCAAGTCAACTCAACTTCCCCAATAGCCTGGAGTAGTCCTGTGTTTTGCTGGTGTTGCTGTGGTCCCACATCTGGTTCTTGGCAGACAGGTGAGCAGCATGAGCCCATCTTTGTTCTTCAGAGTGGTCAGGGTGGTGCACTGCACGCTCCTGTCTTTCCTGTCCCTTTTAGATGTTGTCTAACATAAGCTAGAAGCACCACTAAGTTCAAGATGGGAGACTTTCATATTCTGATAGGTGTATAATAGAGAGCAATTTCTGTGTTTCTGGTATGCAAAGGTAAGCCCTGCTACCCTGACAGACATCAAATGGAAATCTTCCTTTTGCACAGAGGACTGCTATGTAACATGTACACTGCTGGTGAGAGCAAAGCCACAGGTAAGCTCTGCACACAGGCTCTGGTTTGCTTAAGGGGTCAGCCTTGCTGTATGCTTCATAGGGAACAAGAGTTCTGAGCAGCAGCCCATTCTCTGAAAGATCTCTGGTCTCTCAGCTAATCAGCTGAGCTGGGAGCTGTTTCATCTCCCACTGACTACGTCTGCCTGACAGCACTGGCACCACAGATCTGGACCCAAGATCCACCCCTAACATTCCCTGTTCCATCACAATGCCATTTTCATTGTGCTCTTGGCTAAATGGAAATGTATGAAAGAAAAGGTTTACCTGCTTTTTTTCTGAGATGATTTTGCAGTGATGGCCTGGTTTGCTATAACCTTTCCTTACAAGTATTTTCTGTATATATTTTGGAATTTTATTTTTTTAAAAACATGCTCCTAGAGCCTTTGCAGAGAAATGGTTGTGAATGTATTTATAGAATCTTTTAGGTTAAAAAAGACCCACAGGAAAACATGCTGCTTTCAGGTGATGCAAATGCTCATATCTGGTGCAACCCAGAGAAAAATTATGCCTTAAAGTGTGCTATTTAGTTGTCCTAGCTAGTGTGGACCAAAGGCAGTCTAGCCAAGCAGCATCAAGTATTTTTGGGATTATGTGACTAGTTTAAAATATGAAACCACTGTACTACAGAGGAGGGCTAGAACAGATTATTACAGTCTGTTTGCAGCCCTTGACCAGAGGTAACATGTATGTTAGAGAGTAACTGAGTGATAGATACGTATCATCTTTGAGTGCATCCCAGCATCATCCTGCTTCCTTCCACATCCCCCCCCTCTTTGTTTTTCCCAACTCTTCTCGTGTCCTCTTCACCCCAGCACAAGCAGGTCCTGTGCTGCAGCAGCCACCAGCTTCAGCTTGTAGATGATTCTTGCATTTTGAGGAGGATGATGTGTTCAGCTGAGGAATCCTATTGTTTCAGAACATGTGGTTTACATTATGATTTCTGAAAGGTATTTCTATACACAAACACTACCATCTGCTGCTTGCATTTTTAGAAGGTTAATTCCACCTCAAACCTAGTCATTAGTAGCAGAAATCACTTACTTGCTTCTGGCATTTAGTGTCACAGCACACAACTAGCAGAAAACCATCTTTTCTTGTAAAAGCCGTATAATGCTGGTAATTAGCACAGTTTCACTACAAATTCTCACTGAAATAACTTCTGTATTCATTGTTTTAAATTATGATCTACTGTTATATCTAGGATCAGACAACAGGCTTCTTGTAAATTTGAGGTGAATATGACGTCTGTAATTAATAATGTAATGTTTCCTTTCTTATTTTTGAGTTCTGTGTCCTAAACAGTACAGTTCTCCTGAAAGTTCCTGTGGTCTAAAACTCTTTTTAGTTGTCATGCTAGACGAGCACGCCAAGAGAATTCAGTTTTGAACTGCAAGCTGCTTTGTTTGGAATAAGAAATCTGTTATGTCTAATGTTCTTGGTTGGATTAATGCAGATGCTTTTGACTGCAAACAAGAAATCCTTATTTTGAAATTATTCACAAAAAGCTCACATATGGGTGATCATCCCTCCTGATAAGCAATATTAACAGAAGACTTATGGACTGTGAACTCAGAGGAGGAAAGCAAATTAAATTTTAGGTATTGTAGTGGAAATGATAAGTCACAACCTGAAGCAGTGATTGAGCACCTGGTGGGAAGGCAGGGCCAACCCAGGGGAGCTCAGGTGCAAGCAATGCACCTGAGTGACTGGAAGGGGTAGAGCCAGGATCCACCCCTTCCCAGACCTCATTTAAGGGTTGGTAGTGAGGGCATCTCTTGCTGGAGATCCCTGCCTACCTGAGGTCTTTCAAAAGTAAGCAGCTCTTCCTTCGTTTGTGTCCATGGCTGCTGCATTTGGGCTTGTTCTCATTTGCTGAAGCTGAAGACTTCAGCACCCTGCTATTATCATGGCATTACCACTACGAATGGCTTTTTCTCACCACCAAAAAGAAAGGCCTTTGTGCAATGACAGCGTACTACACGAAGATTCCAGACTGTAAGCAAAGTTATGCATGTATTGGCGCAGTTCTGACACAGCAGAGAACTTCAGCACAGAGAGGCTGTGAGTCCCATCAGCACTGTAGGTAGGTGCACCAGGCAGCTGCATCTGTTCAGCACTGAGGTGTCCCGAGGCAGAACCTGACAACATGCCGCCCTGGAGATGTGTGAGTCTAGAAGCTGTCTCTTTGGTTTTTTTGCCCAGCATGCTGTGGGCTTTTATATTCAGTCACACTGCACAGGCCCTCCATATTATAGAAGGAGGTATTTGGAAGGAAATGGCCTGTATTTGTTTTTTTTTTAGTTACATTGATTTACAGAACACAGAATAAAATACTATACTATTAAAAATGTATCCTTATTGAATTGCAAGACCCAAAAAACAAATCCCCAAACTTCACAGTACAGGGAATTAAAGCTCTGAAAGTAGGATGAGACCACAGCAATCTCTGGTCGTTGTTGTAGGACTAAGTTCTCCCACCAGTTTCAGAATTGTAGGGCTTGTTCAGCCCTTAATTTATTGAGTTTTAGACTTGCCAACCTAAAATGTATCTTAGAAATATTTTTTTCCCTCCAAAGGAGGCAGTGAGTTTTGCTTTTAGACAACCAGCTCGGATTTTCCTGGAGATGTCCTCCTGTTTTCAGTTGGCTTTCCCCAGCACAGCTTACCTTTAAAGCCTGAAAAAAGGAGTGGTTCTGTTTTCTCATAACGCTGTGGTACAGGAGAGGAGTCAGGCACTGTTGTACCATCATGCTCTACAAAACTTCCTTTTCCATTCTGCTGTCATAATGAGCAATCCACTCCTGCAGTATCAATAGATGCCACTGAAGTGTTTTTTTCTATAAGCAGAGTTTTCCAGCTAATAGGAAATCTCTTCTAAGCAGATTTAGAATTGTCAGATGTCATCAACTGTAATCTCAAATGTAAGACCAGACCAACTCTTCAAGAAGCACTTGTGATTTCAGACGTCCATTGTAGCAAAGCCATTCTGACTTCAGTGCATGCAAGATGTTTGTGCTCACTATCTCTAGCCACGCTGGTCAGAACAAACTGAAACTTCTAAGAGTGTTTCATCAACCTCAACAGTAAAAACAAAAAACAAACTAAAGTACACCCTGCTGGATAGGGACAAAGACCATTTGCCCTGCCAACTTAAACAGGAAGCCAGCTAAGCAAAAAAGAAAAAAGGCTGGGTGAAATCCTGAGACCATTTAAGTTAATGGGAGTCTGGCTATTGATTTAAGTGGGCTCAGGCTTTATTCACGCATATTTTTCACTCGTATTCCCCTAGCTGTTCCAGGTTTTGTGTTTTTCCATAGGAACAGATGTGCAAAGCTATCACAGATAAGCTACGCAGCTCATTGTGGCCTTCAGAAACAAGAAAGTAGCTGGCATTAGTGCTGGGCTTCCAAGGCTTGGCAAGCCCCCACTCCTAGCCCTGCTCCATCCCAATCCCAGACTGTGAGCATTACTGAAACACTGTGAGTGAAGGGTGCGGGTCTGTGCTGATACAGAACCTGCAGTGAGTGTCCCTGCAGCCTGGGTGGCCCAGGCAGACGCAGCGGGGAGCAGTATTTCCCAAGGAGCTCCTGACAAGTAAGAAGCAGCAGGAAGGAAAGGCCTTGCTGGAAAGACTGAGACCAAGTTCTTTGCATATGCACTTCCCCTCTTGTGTTTACAAGGCAGGTAGGCTTCATCTGGTAACGAGCGGCGTCCCCCAGGGGTCTGTCTTGGGACCGGTGCTCTGTAACATCTTTATCAGTGACATCGATGGCGGAATCGAGTGCACCCTCAGCAATTTGCTGACGGCACCAAGCTGAGTGGTGCGGTCGACACGGTTGGAGGAAGGGATGCCATTCAGAGGGACCTCGAGAGGCTGGAAAGGTGGGCTGGGTGAACCTGATGAGGTTCAACACAGCAGAGTTTTGCACTTGGGCTGGAGGAATCCCAGGCATCCCTACAGACTGGAAGGAGCGGGCCTTGAGAGC